GAAGGTAATTTCCCCAATCAACATCTGGACAAGGAACCAAACAATCAAGCAAAGGCATTTTATGACTTGCTTCATGCATCTACAATTCCACTTGGTAGTGCTAAAAGAAATGAGACAGTGCTTAGCTGGCTTTCTTATATGTTGCATACAAAGACTGCAAATAATATAACCGCTAATGGTTTTAATGCCATTCTCAAAGGATGTAGAAGGTTGTTAAGTGCTGAAGATCAAGAAAAAGTTCCTTCAAACTTTTATGAAGTAAAAAAATATATAAAAGGGCTTGGGTTATGTTATCTAAAAATTGATGCTTGTGTTAACAACTGCTTTTTATACTATGGGGAGCATACGAAAACATTGACTACATGTCCAATTTATGGAGAAGCGAGGTATAAACAGAGAAATCTAGGGAGGAATAGACAAAAGGACATTCCGAGGAATTCTCTTTGGTGCTTGCCAATAATACCTCGCCTTCAGAGGCTATACATGTCTCGAAAAATAGCTGAGCACATGACATGGCATTTGAAATGTTGTAGTGATACAGATGAGGTCATTCATCCAGCACAATCAGAAGCATGGAGACATTTTGATCAAATGCATCCTTCTTTTAAAAGAGAATCTCGTAATGTTCGATTAGGTCTTGCTACTGATGGTTTCAACCCATGGGCTCATTCTTCAACCTTCTACTCTTGTTGGCCAGTTTTTTTAATTGTTTATAATTTGCCACCAGAGATGTGCATGCGACCAGAGTTTACTTTTCTTACATTGGTCATTGCTGGTCCAAAAAGCTCAGGCAAAAATATCGATGTTTTCCTTCGACCTTTAATTGAAGACTTGAAAATGTTATGGTCGACTGGTGTAGAAACATATGATAGTTATCATAAGCAAAACTTTATAATGCGAGCTATGTTGATGTGGACCATAACTGATTTTCCGAGTTATGGTATGGTGGCTGGTTGGAGCACTCATGGCCAATTTTCATGTCCTTATTGTATGGGGATGACACAATCTTTTTATCTTCAAAATGGTCGGAAACCATGTTTTTTTTATTGTCATCGTCAGTTTTTACCAGAATCACATTCTTTCAGATTTGATCAGAGTAATTTCTTGAACGGTCGGGTTGAATTAGGCAGTCCCCTTCCTCGATTGAATGGTGTTTCAATGCGTCACCGAGTTGAAAACCTTCCTGATGTGTTGTTTGGGAAACCCTTTGAAAACCAAACAATTGAGGGTTTTGGGAACATCCATAATTGGGTGAAAATGTGCATTTTTTGGGAACTTCCTTATTGGCATGATAATCTTATTCGACATAATCTTGATGTAATGCACTGTGAGAAAAATTTCTTTGATAATATAATACACACTGTTATGAATGACAATAAGACAAAAGACAATGGGAAAGCAAGATTGGATTTAGCCATTTATTGTGACCGAAGAAAACTGCACATGGGATATAATACGCATGGTAAGCTTGTGAA